GGTTTGCTGGGGACAAGATGGGGAAGACCCAGAGGATTTGCCCATTTTTTGGAGAGACTTTTTACGGAAAGTACACCATCAGGTAGGCAGTGCTGTCCACATCTACAGCAAAGGGCAGGAGGGGTGCAAAAGAATCTCCCAACTGTTAAAATGCAAAGTGAAAGACCTGGGTCAGGTAACAAACATCGGCAGCGTCAGGGGATTGTCTCGCAAAGAGAAAGTGTTGTACCTTGCCGGAGCGGCGGACTGTGTGGACTATCAGTGAATCAAGGTTAATACAAAGCCGAACTCAATGATTATGGATTGATTTTTTTTATTGATTGACATTTTTGATAGTAATGCTGTCGGAATACAAAGATTTTTGATTGATTGTGTATATATAGTTTATAGTTTCTATTTAAGTTTTTTTAATCGTATCGAGTGAATCAAGGTTGTACAAAGGAACTCCATGATTATTGATTGATTATTTATTGACTGACATTTTGATAATGGTAAATGAACACAAAGATTGTTGATTGATTATGATTGGCCTACAATTTAATAATGTGTGTATATAGTAAAGATTGAAAGGTGACGAACAAATTATTTCAACCTATCATGATTGTATTAATATAGAGGGGGGGGGGGGGGGGAATTCACAGTAAAGCGTCGATGCATAAGAATTCTTCACGTTCAAATTTTCAATGCTTTTATTGATTATAAATTTCCGTGCAGTTAAAACTAAAATGGTTACCTCATTGTTTTTGTTTTTAATAATCATCAGAACAGCGGAAAGGTTTAAATGTCATGCGTAGTAAAACATCATCATTTCTTTCGGGCTCGTAGATCGTGCTTCTAGTATACGTGCTGTAGGTTACTCTAGGGCCGTGGTTGCCATGTCTTTGCAATCCACGTTTCCGTAAGACTCGTTTCCAGGCTTCATAGCATTATTCACCATGTACTCCATAGACCAACGATAAAGTTTTCTTGCACATTGGGGGTTGCTTTCGGCTGCCTTTAAGAACTCCATGCCTTTGGCACTGAACACAAATGTGCTGTCGGCATCTTCCACTGTTTTGACATTGGTTAATAAGCGTCCATTCTTGTCAAAAAAACAAAGTTCCTCCACAGCTTTCTTAAAACCTTTTGAAGGTTGTGAGGATTTTGAAGAGGCCATACTGTAGGGATCCGTACACAGAGTAAGCGCGCATAAGGCTAACGGGGTGGACGCTTTATAAGGCAATGTTGAACTTTGATACCTGAAAACACGATTTTTTTGACATGTTTGCGCGCGACTCACTGTTCAACTCTATAAAAGGGATGCGATCTATTTATTACCCTAAGAATGTGGAAGTTGTCAGCTGTACGTGCTTGTAAGGTAGGGGACTGCTCCCCCCTGGCTAATCAGTATGCATCTGGAAAACACGATTTTGCGACAGGATTGGACCTGTAGCCCCATATTTGGCTAGCGTTACGCAATTTTGAGTCGCTTAAAGGGCATGACGCAAGCAAAGGTTTCAAATGCAATGCGTGAACTATCTCTGAGATGTTATGCGATCGAAGCACTATGGACCACGAAAACCTGGACGCAGTTGAGGCATTTGCCCCGTTAGACGAGAGCGATCTGATATGGATGCAAAGCTGTTTGTACGACGTAGAAAACGAATCACAAGCAGACTTCGACCTAGATTGTTATCTCAACGCCGGGACGCATCAAGAGGGAGGTGTAAGTACGAGATCGCAAACAAGGAGTCAACAGGACATGCAAACGACAGACGATACACGACTCTCAGAACAAACAGGACCCGCAAACGAACACGATCGAGCTGTAGAGGGAATGAGTATTACCAAAGTGTCCCAAAAGAAGAACACAAAGTTTAACATGAAATCATCAACCTACACGGTCGAGATCGTGGACAAAGAGACGGAGGATGTACAACAGGCGATCGTGCAGGTGGTCAAAAACATCGATGAAATTTTAGACACTGTGTTAATGGACGCAGACGGTGAGGATTTAGTACTTTTTAGATTAATTAGCGAACTCCTGGTTGACGATATTGTGATGCCCTTGATGCCTGTCGCTGATTTGAGTATCGCACGCATACAAGACAAGATAGAAAAAGTAGCACAGTCCAATAAAGAGTTTTTGCTAAAAGGACGTTTCAAAGTAGAAGTGACTTTGGTAGTAGACCAGCAAAGTCGAGGGAGCGGTTTGGTAGAGGACTGGTTGGCTGCCAAGACGTCAGATCCGCAGGGTGTCCAGCTGATCTGAGAAAAAATGTTAGCCAATCAGAATCGAGAAAATTTGCAAAACTGAATTGTCACCCTTGGTAGCCTGGCTTTCAAAATGGCGGACTTACGTGCTCGACGGGGAAAAGTTTATTGTTTATTCTTCTTTGTCCTTGGGGTGATTTTCCCTTCGCTTTCGTTTCACGTTACCATTTTGAATACAAAAAAGTCAGTGACCTCGATACAGTCAAGACAAAAACACAGATAATACGAATAGATTTTTATGCATTTAATTAAATTTGGTAGACCGCTGGTCAGTCCTGTGGGCCCAAGGACAACTCAGTTTTGCAAATACGTCATAATGACGTCACATTTCAGATCAGCTGGGTGTTCTTTGGGGGGAAGTATAATGTTCATAACCATCCCGACCGGTCGATAGTGGGGGGGGGGGGGGGGGGGGGGCGTGACTGTGTAAATGATGTATTACCATTCATCGTGGGTGTTTCATTCCCTTGAGAGAGTCTTTTTTAGGAGGGGAGACCGTACTACAGAGGAGGAAGTGTGTTTTTATGAGCTGTGCTTTACGCATTCCGTGTCTAAGGAGGATGGAAGTATGGTACAAACACTTGCTGAATTACTTAAAAACAATTAGGTAGGAGTAGCAAATATTTTTCACATTTTTTATGTGCTTTTGAAAGCAGCTTTAAAAATTGATTACTTATAAAATGTACTTACATTTGGTATTAAAAGCAACACATAATTTAAGCCTGTCTTTTCTGGCTCACTGACATCAAAGTAAATTATTTTAATAGTTAAAACTATTATATGGTTGGCTGAAATGTCCTAAATAAAGTCTGAGTTGAAACCTTTCTAATAACAAAATGTCTAAATTTGATAAGTGCTTTTAAATATATTATAGGGTTCTTAACTGCACTGATTGCTTTAAGTGCATGGGTTTAATTTTTTTATCACATAGAGAGCATGAATTACTTGTAAAAAACTATGTGAATGGCATTGTTCAAATATATGAATTGCTATTTGTACCAATGAATCTGCACAAATATTTTGTTTAGGTAATTCAAAAATACTGAAAACATCTCTGCTTAATTTACATTTAAAATTGAAAATATTCCTGGATTGTTGGAGCAGTTATGTAATGATATGTGCAGATATAATTAGTTCAATTGATTGACAGTTTCACATGTAACATTTGTCATATGTAAATTAGTTCGTTAGTTCGCTCGCTAARCTACATCATGTGTACATGTTGAGTTAAATAAACTACAGTCTACCACAGAAGAGTCAATTTACATGGTTGTCAGAACCGGGATCCACAATCCACGAAAAAAAAACACAAAGTTAAGTCAAGTCTTCGTGAGAGAAAGTCGACGAACTCATCGCAAAAGAACAGATTTTGTCTCAAACCTCAAGTTACGCCACGTGCGTCATCAAGTTCAAAACAATCAAGAATATCCTTAAGAAAACCTTCAAGAATACCTCAAGATGGGAGATCTTTCAGGATTCGAGATCCCCAAAATGGATTGGTCGCCTGGACCAGACCTCTACAACAGATTCAAGCGATTTAAGCAAAAATGTGGTCTATTATTTGACGGGCCGCTAAAGGSTAAATCAAAAGAACAACGAATCAACTAATTATTGTGGACAGGCGATTATGGACTCGATCTCTATAATACCTGGACTGGAATCTAAAAAGGACATCAACGAGTATTGGACAAGATTCGAGAAGCATGTAAAACCCCAAGCCAACCACATATTGAGTCGATTTAATCTACGTAACCTCAAACAAAACAACAGGCCGCTCGATGAATTCTTGACGGAAGCCCAACTATTAGTTCAAAGCTGCGGGTTCCCCGCTCAACTTCAAAATGAAATGGTCAGGGATGCCCTAGTTTTCGGGACCGACCWTGATGTCGTAAGGAAAAGATGTATTGCCGAAGGCAACTCATTAACATTTGAGAAAGCAAGAGACATTGCAAGAACAGAGGAAGCAACCCGCCAACAAGTCAATGCCATGAGGCAGAGCAGCGAAGTCAGCGCTATCAAAAGTCAGAAAGCAAAGAAAAAAACAATCAGCACATCGAGTACGAAGCATCATGAAGCACCAACTTCGAGTACGAAGACCACGTGTGACCGGTGCGGTAACAATAAACATGCATCAGGTCGTAAGTGCCCCGCGAGCGGAGTAGACTGCCATTATTGCCACAAACGTGGGCATTTCAGTAAAATGTGCCACAAACGCAAGCAAGTTCACGAGATACGCAACGAAACAGACACGGATGACGATGAACATAATGACATGTTTTTAGGAACACTTGAAGTTGATAGTCTACACGGTCACGTGACAAACTGCAACAAAGTCTTCACCGAGATCAATGTCACATTAAAGCCTTATCACAAGAGAACAACTGCAATAACATGCAAGTTGGACACTGGTGCGGAAACTAACGTCATATCAAAGTCAGATTTTGATACAATCATTGCTTCACCAGAGGAAAAATCACTCGGACCGCCACAAACCCTCACTGCGTATGGCGGACAAAAGATTCAGTGCGTCGGTACATGCGAGCTGTATGTACATCACAAAGGTACTACAATCAAGGTACCCTTCACTGTCACGAACGTAAAAGGACCTGCAATACTGGGATGCAACACCTGCGAACAACTAGGACTTGTTACAATCAATTGTAGCATTGAAACAGACGGCAAGAGTGGAACTTCAGCAGARAATCCTCCATTGACAAGGGATAAACTTGTACATGATTACAAGGACTGTTTTGAAGGAATRGGTYCTTTCAAAATGAAGCCATATCACATCACTGTAGATCCAAACGCAGAGCCAGTCGTGCACCCTCCTAGGACGGTGCCGCTACACGTGCGCGACCTGTTCAAAGCTGAACTCAACAGCATGGAGGAACATGGCATCATAGAGCCAGTTAGTGAGCCTACRGACTGGGTGAATAGCATAGTACTCAACGAGACAGTCAACMAKAAGYGCGAAATAATCAAGCTGAGAGTGTGCCTTGACCCACGAGACCTCAATAAATGGATAAAGCGGGAACACTATCACACAAGAACCATTGACGATGTTATCAGTGAACTACACGACGCAAAGTACTTCAGTGTCATCGATGCAAAGAAGGGATACTGGCACGTGCCTCTCGACAAAGAAATCTCCATTCTCACTACGTTTAATACGATATTTGGGCGGTATCGCTTCACGCGAATGCCGTTCGGACTGAATGTCTCACAAGACATTTTCCAAAAGGAACTCGATTCATCGATCGAAGGACTGCCAGGAGTCACAGGAAAGACGGAAAGACGGAAAAAGAACACGATGAAAACATGGCAAAACTCATGGATCGTGCAAGAGACAAAGGAATAAAGTTCAACAAAGATAAAGTACAGCTAAAGTGCAAAGAAGTAAGCTTCTTTGGCCACACCTGGACGCCTGATGGAATTAAACCTGATGCAAGGAAAGTATCAGCCATACTGGGTATGCAGCCACCACGCAACGTCAAAGACCTGCAAAGCTTCTTGGGCCTTGTTAACTACTTGACAAGGTACTCAGGTCGCCTAGCAACGATCACAGCACCTCTACGTGAACTCACTAAAGCAAATACAGCTTTCACTTGGTGTCCTGAACACGACAAAGCTTTCAAAGATGTCAAAGACGAGATTGTGTCAGCTCCAGTACTTCGTTACTTCGACAAGAATGCCGAAACCACAGTCCAAACAGACGCCTCACAGAAAGGGTTAGGAGCCGTACTACTTCAAAACGGCCAACCAGTGTGTTATGCTTCAAAAGCACTTACAGACACCGAGTCTAACTATAGTAACATTGAAAGAGAGACACTAGGCGTGGTATGGGGCCTGGAAAGGTTCCATTACTTCATTTACGGAAAACATTGCACAGTACAGACAGATCACAAACCTTTGGAGTCGATCTTCAAGAAGAAACTCGCCAGTTGCCCGCCAAGACTACAAAGACTAGTCCTCCGCGCATTAAAGTATGATGTCACAGTCACATATGTCAAGGGAATCAACGTCCCAATAGCTGATGCTTTGTCCAGAATAACACCACAGACAGGACCAACCGTAGGAGAACTACCAAGGATTGATGTTCACTGCATCACGAAAACCCTGCCTGCCACGCCCACAAAGCTTCAACAGATCAGAGAAGAAACAGAAAGAGACCCAACATTGTCTCTACTCAGGGAGACCGTATTCAAAGGATGGCCAAGCCGACGAAGTGAATGCCCAACTCCATTACATGACTACTGGAACTTCAGAGAAGAACTAACCATAGAAGATGGAATTCTACTCAAGCAAGACAGAATTGTCATCCCGCCTAAACTACGAGTTGACATCTTAACTTCAATACATCAAGGTCATCTAGGCATTGAGAAGTCTCTCCTTAAAGCANTACATGCGAGCTGTATGTACATCACAAAGGTACTACAATCAAGGTACCCTTCACTGTCACGAACGTAAAAGGACCTGCAATGCTGGGATGCAACACCTGCGAACAACTAGGACTTGTTACAATCAATTGTAGCATTGAAACAGACGGCAAGAGTGGAACTTCAGCAGATAATCCTCCATTGACAAGGGATAAACTTGTACATGATTACAAGGACTGTTTTGAAGGAATCGGTACTTTCAAAATGAAGCCATATCACATCACTGTAGATCCAAACGCAGAGCCAGTCGTACACCCTCCTAGGACGGTGCCGCTACACGTGCGCGACCTGTTCAAAGCTGAACTCAACAGCATGGAGGAACATGGCATCATAGAGCCAGTTAGTGAGCCTACCGACTGGGTGAATAGCATAGTACTCAACGAGACAGTCAACGACAAGGGCGAAATAATCAAGCTGAGAGTGTGCCTTGACCCACGAGACCTCAATAAATGGATAAAGCGGGAACACTATCACACAAGAACCATTGACGATGTTATCAGTGAACTACACGACGCAAAGTACTTCAGTGTCGTCGATGCAAAGAAGGGATACTGGCACGTGCCTCTCGACAAAGAAAGCTCCATTCTCACTACGTTTAATACGATATTTGGGCGGTATCGCTTCACGCGAATGCCGTTCGGACTGAATGTCTCACAAGACATTTTCCAAAAGGAACTCGATTCATCGCTCGAAGGACTGCCAGGAGTCACAGGCATCGCCGATGACAACTTCGTCTATGGAAAGACGGAAAAAGAACACGATGAAAACATGGCAAAACTCATGGATCGTGCAAGAGACAAAGGAATAAAGTTCAACAAAGATAAAGTACAGCTAAAGTGCAAAGAAGTAAGCTTCTTTGGCCACACCTGGACGCCTGATGGAATTAAACCTGATGCAAGGAAAGTATCAGCCATACTGGGTATGCAGCCACCACGCAACGTCAAAGACCTGCAAAGCTTCTTGGGCCTTGTTAACTACTTGACAAGGTACTCAGGTCGCCTAGCAACGATCACAGCACCTCTACGTGAACTCACTAAAGCAAATACAGCTTTCACTTGGTGTCCTGAACACGACAAAGCTTTCAAGACGAGATTGTGTCAGCTCCAGTACTTCGTTACTTGGACAAGAATGCCGAAACCACAGTCCAAACAGACGCCTCACAGAAAGGGTTAGGAGCCGTACTACTTCAAAACGGCCTGGGATCACAAAAGACATTACGCAACTTGTTGAACACTGTAACGCATGTCAAAAGTATCAAAAGAAGAACAGGAAAGAGCCCATTCTGCAACCTGACACTCCAAGTCGACCATGGGAAACACTCAGTTCTGACCTATTTGATTTCAAAGGTAAAACCTACCTGCTTGTATCAGACCAGTACAGCAAGTTTCCTATTATACGCCAACTTACCAGTACAACCTCAGCAGCAATCGTCAACCACCTCAAGAGTATATTCTKTGAACACGGTATACCATCGCGTCTTATGACAGACAACGGACCACAGTATGACTGCAGAGAATTCAAGTCCTTTACAGCAACGTATGGCATAGACCACGTGACTAGTTCACCACTCTACCCACAGTRGAACGGATTTGCTGAGCGAATGGTGCAAACCATTAAGAAKATCCTGCYGAAATGCGACGAACAAGGTGATGACCCCTARCTGGGAATCTTATCTTACAGAACAACACCAGTAGATAGCCARCTTAAGTCACCAGCAGAACTCCTCAATGGTCGTAAATTCAAGACAACCGTACCATCTGCGCAAAGAGCCTTCCATACTGGGAATGATAGAGACCAAATASGACAAAGTCTACTTGAAAGGAAGGAAGATKAGGGCAAATACTKCAACCAGAATGTCCGACCACTACAACAGCCYCTACGAGATGGYCAACCAGTGCGTATGTATGACCACAAGAGGAAGACCTGGGAACCAGCGACGGTACAGCAGCAAGCTWAAGAACCAAGATCCTACCTTGTAAAGAGGACAGATAACGACACAGTGTACRGCAGGACCAGATCTGACCTACGACCAGATACAACAGCACAAAGACACGACACGACAGCAAGACCYCAAAACAATGAYCAGATACAACACAGCAACAAGGACTCAAGCACGCCTTGTCATTATACCACTAGACATGGACGTGTTGTAAGGCCCCCTGCAAAACTAGACTTATAAGACGCTTGTAAAGAGAGGGGGATGTAATGATACGTGCATATATAATTAGTTCAGTTGATTGACAGTTTCACATGTAATATTTGTCATATGTAAATTAGTTCGTTAGTTCGCTCGCTAACCTACATCATGTGTACATGTTGAGTTAAATAAACTACAGTCTACCACAGAAGAGTCAATTTACA